AATATTAGAATTATATTGTAGCAATATTGTAGCAATATTGTAAACATATTTAGCAAAATCAAAGGTTTCTGCAAAGTTATAAATAAATATAATTGGCTAGATTATATTTATTATATATCTACTTGGCCACACAAAGTTCGATCCGAGCCAATCAAATTGATTTATATTACTCGACAAACCCGATATCTTATAGGTATCTGATCATTTGAGTATTGGTTATCAGAAATGGCAGGTTATCGGGATTGAATTATGGAACAAACAGACATTGTGGAACAATTTTTATCGGGTATAACAGGTTATCGGTTTTGACAGGATCGGTTTGGGAGGGTAGACTGTATATCAAAAATATATGTCTCAAAATTTTGCTATCGTTATAAAACACCTCATACGTTCTATTTAAAATGCTCTTACACGATTTATTACAGAATCTCTACCTTAATGTTCATTTATAGTCCTAACCTTTAAAGAGCAAATAACAAAAGCCTTTATTATAGTTCACTAACAGATTCGTGATTTAATACAAAAAAAAAAAAAAAATCATGTGAAATTTGGCATAAAATAAATTTAACTTCTAATCCTAATTCGGGTTTTAACCTGTTAAAAAAAAAAAAAACCAAGAATTTATAATCATTGAAATATTTAGATTTAAAATTATTTAAAGAGTTAATTTTTGGTTCAGATTACAATCTTACTGTATATATTTCTTAATACGATTATGTGCTAGATGAACAGCATTGGCTCCAAAAGTTTTAATATAATATAATTAATTATCGACAATTGAGTCGATACTGAAAAGATCGGTTTTAATTGTTGGAAGCGATCGACTAGTGTAGATAGCCTGTGGATTTATTTTCAACGACAATTGTGGACTAGATTTATTTTGATTGAATCTCATCGCTTCTGCTGCTTCAAGTTCTGATTCGACATCCGATGTGGGCTTGTTAATCCATTTGTAAATAGTACGCGTGATTTCTTCTGCACTCGGCCGTATTGATGGCTCAGCGTCCCAACATTGTCGCATTAGCTTTACATAAAACGATGGTATGTTATCGGGAAGTTGAGGTCTGACGCCATCGCAAATTTTTAGTGCGAGATAAATGTCATGTGGAGTGTCAGAAAAAGGAACCCAACAAGTAGCTATCTCGTACATAATCATTCCGAAGCTGTACACATCAGAGGCTTTAGTGTATGGCTTGTTGCATAACACCTCTGGAGCGATATACGGCATCACACCATATACATCGGATGATGTTGATTTGACAGGACGAGATAATCCAAGATCAGTAACCAAAACATAACCTTTTCCGCATATTACATTTCCACCATGGAAGTCACGATGAACCAGTCCCATTTTGTGCAGTTGATTGAGACCGATAGCAATTTGGTTCAAAACGTTTATCCGCTGTAGCCAATTAAAATTAGGTAAGATTTTACGGATGTAATTACGTAGGTCACCATCCTCCGCGAAGTCGAGTACCATTATGTATTTCTGTGTGTATGGATTTTGGGATACTCCATAGACGCGGATGATACCTGTAAACCCTACTCCTGCACAACTTTTATTTAATGCTACTAGCTACATTTTTATAAAAAAAAAATTAAAATAAAAGCAATAATATATATATTTATTTATTTAATCAGTTAAGACGCTTACTTCATTTAGAAATTCAGAAAAGTTTTGGGAGTCCTTGAGGGTCTTAATGGCAACAACATGTGCGCCAACTCGTTTCCATTTGTAATGCATCGTATCCCATCCTGTAATTCGACCGTCTAACCATTCCGCTTTATCAATAGTTCCATAGCCTCCTTCTCCAATACATTCAATATGCTTGAGTCGATTATAAGGAATCCATTCTAATAAATGACTTTCGCTTGTCGCAGTAAGTTGTGAATTTCTAATTGCGGCATCTATCTCCTGGTTTCCACTTGTCCAATCATTAAAAGTTTTTTCAAAATGCTTAGAAATGCAGATAGAGCACCATTTTGGGCTAGAGTACGTCTGTCTGCATTGTTTGCATATATCTTTGGGGTATTTCATATCCTAATTAATCAAACCTATATCAGGTATTATAACAAAAATCAATAGCCTCTTTTATTGGTATAAGAGGCCACAAAGAAACAAATATCGTGCATCCAACCTATCACCTTTATGTATACCACT